CCAAGCGGCTGAGAGACCAGGTGCTTCTGGAATTGTCTCCTCTACAGGCCTCCAGGACCAGGGCACAGCCCAGATTGCCTTTTAAAAACATCAACTTCACTGAGACATAATTTACAATTAAATTCACCCATTTTAAATGTTTAATTCATCTTGACAAATACATACACCCATGCATCCACTATATGACATGACTGAGATAGGTATGTTTATAGTTTTTTATTTTGGTATCCAATACTGAGCCTGAAGGCCCACATGCCCTCACAATCAGGATACTGCTTAGTTCTGTCACTCCAAGAAGCACCCTTGTGCCGCCCCTTGGGGGTCAAACTCTTCTCTTATCCGTAGCCTCTGGCACCCATTGATCTATTTTTATCGCTATAGTTTACAAACTTGGTATTTAAAAAACTCACAATTCAGAAAAGATGTTCAGACATACCTGGTTTTCAAGCAATCATTTATTTTGATTCTCTTATTTTTAGATTAATTTTATACCTTCTTGAGCACACTTATAATGATATGGTTATTTTATTTACCAAAGTGAAATCAAGTAAACTCTTTTTAATGAGACTGAAAAATGAATCACCTTAATATTGGAAGAGTAATCTGGATATTTAAAAATTATTTCTGAAATAGGATAATAATATTTCACAAACAACTGCATTTATCTAAAACAAAAAGCATACCCATCAGGTATTTGTCTTTAAATATAAAAAATACATATTAATATTTTTATCATTAAGTCTGATATTCTAAAATTTTTAATTACTTGAGTTAAAAATGTGAAAGCTTTATTTTAAACCCAGGTTAAATAAATTGAGTTCAGTCAGGTCACCTTGAGAAATTCAAAATATCAAGGCAGGTAGCTGAGTCATTATCTTACCCTATTTTTTGGCTAGACCAAAAAGATGAAATTTCCTAATTTTTTCAATTCCCAAGTGATTATTAACTTAGAATAAAACTAGCCAGAGGTAGAACATTTTATTTCCATTTGCAGAAGAAGAAAGTGGTATTAAAAGCAACACTATCATTTTACAATGATTACCAGCAAAGTGAAAAGCAGCTGAAATCATGTCTTCTGAGGTCAGTTTAAAGAATTTGGGGCATTTCATCTGGGGCTCCATATATGGAGCCTACCACAGGCTCTAGAATCAAAGTTCAGCATTGTTAGCCACTAGCTCTGGTGATGTTGACTAAATTATGAGACTTCTCTCATCTTATTTCCTCACCTGTAAAATGGGGTTATATACTTTGAGCATTGTTTTGAGGGCTAAACGAGATAATGCACAGTAAAGCATGCAAAAGTGATAGCTGATGGCAGGAGATGTAGGAATGAGCAGATGAAATGTATCATAGCTGGTGTTACAATAATACCATAGACATCATCGTCAGAGCCAATGTTTTCCCTCAGGAGTTAAAGATGGACACTGGCATTTAGAATACTGTCAAGAAATAAAGCTAGAAAGAATACATATGGCCTATTGTGATTAAAAGTATTAAAAGAACAGGTTATGTGACTACATGCCTAAATGCTATATAATCAGCAGTAAGAATCCTTATTTTGTACATAACTCACTTTCTAACATACTATTAAATTCAGATTATCCTTTCATTGGTTTTAAACAAATTATGGTGACTCAAGTTGCTTTAAATAAAAGAAAAAACTGTATCTATTTTTGTAAAACAAATAATTTTTATTCAAGCTAAATCCATGGGATTTATAAAAACCAGTAGCATCTATTCAAAGGACCTCTAATGGCAAAGACCATTATGTGGCTGATTTTGCAGAAGCTAATGTGGCTGCCGTTAAGTGCTTACACATACAAACACCAGTCCCTCTCCATGGGTAGTAGCCATTTAAGCTCCTAAGTAAGAAAACCAGTTCCACTTACTTGGGCAGAGCAGGCGGCTGGCTGAGGAAGGCTATTATGGGCTGATTCATTCACTCACAAACACCCTGAGTGAGTGCTTCCATGGGGCTGGGGGGTATTGGATTCTCACCACCAAAATGGCATCAACGCAACTCTCCATTAAAAAAAAAGGTTTGTAATATTCTTTTCCACATTGCATCTGTTGAAATCTCAGTCATCCTTCAAGCTTATGGTCAAATGTTCCCCCTTTGCAAAAGCCACTCCTAATCCTCTATCCCCCCAAATCTCAACCCCAGTCTGAATTAACCAATCCCTCTTTGGTGCTCCTAATGCCCTTTGACCAGACTACACGTGTATTAGGGTCATATATTTACGTTGCCACAGGAATTATGCACTCTATCCATGTAAAAACATCCAACACAAAGTAAGATTGGTGTTGAAAGCAGCTTAAAAATAACTCAACTAGGTGTTGAAAGTAACCAGATGAACAAAAAATGGGCTTTGGGTAAAAGCTCACGGCTCAAAGCAGACGTCAGGCAGACAGGATGTAAGGCCCAACAAGCATACCTGGGCAATACAACAGCGACAAGTACAAAGCAGGCTAAAAGTATGGAAAGGAGATCAGCCACGGCTTCACAGAGAGGGACGCCTGAGGGCATCTGGTAGGATGAACAAGTACATACCAGGCAGAGGGAAAATCAGGTTCCGTTAAGGCATGAAACATGGGTATGAAGTTTCAGTCAAACCAGATGAAGAAGCTCTAGAGATCTGCTGTGCTTACAGTTAACAACATCATACTGTACACGTAAAAAGTTGTTAGGGTAGATCTCATGTTACGTTTCTTACAATAAAAAAAAAAGAAAAAGGCATGAAACAATATGGTGTGTCTGGGAACTAGCAAGGAAACCACTGTTGCTGGAGTTGATGGGGGAAAACGGAGAGGACAGAGAAGCTGTAGAACAGGTTAGGAGCCAGATCGGAATGGGCCCTGTGACCTATGTTTGAGATTTTAATTTTCTAGGTGATGAGGAGCCGCAGGGAAATAGGATCAGAACTGCATTTTAAAGCAGGAACTCAGATGACAGCATGGGAAACAGGTGGACTGACAGGTAAACACGAAGCTGACAAATTCTGGTGCAGCCTGAGACCAAAAAGCGTGGGGTAAGGAAATGGTACTAGGGGAAGAACTGCAAACACTTAATGCAGTCTGGAGTTATTTGTTTAAATCATTTGTTTACTTTCCCACCAAAATATAAGCTGCAAGTCAGGGACTCTGTCTTGCTCACAGCTATATTTCCAGTCCTAGAGCAGAGCCTTATATACAGCAGGTGCTAAGCAAATACCTGCTAAATCAATGAGTAAATCTCTTGAGGGCAGGAACCCTGGCTAACTCATGAATATATTCCTCAAGACTTTGAAGAGAATGTTGCATATAAAGAAAGGATGATCAAAAACATGTGTTATGTTTCTTTAATGCACATGTCCTGGATTTTTCCAAATAATGTCATCAAATTTTCTTGATTTAAAGTCCAAAGACAGAATTCTTCCTCCCATCAGCTTTGTACACCTCACCTGGGCATCTAGCAATCCAGCTGGGCCCTTTCTGCTTCATAAATCATTGCTGGCAACAAAGCCTGAGCAATTAAGAGCTCAGCTGTCGGTTGTGTTGACAATGGTCGTGACAGCCAATGACACAGTGTGACCCTCCTATGTTTGTGTAATACCATTAATGCACATCATGAGGGTGGCACATCTTTCCGTGGACCACTGCCAGGGGTGAAGCAGCTGGCCGACAGCCCCTCACATTGCTCTTCAACCCACAGCCCAGTAACTGTGGTGGGGGAGGGGATTTCCCCTTCAGAGGCTGGATAAAGGGATTCACTTCGTTATACCAAGAACTAATAAAAGAGGGGTTTTATAACTTTTCTCAAGTGGAATATACCAGGCCAAGCTATCAGCTTAACTAACTCATCCCCATGATCTGTTAAAAGTCCTCCAACGGCCAGTTTTAAGCCAGCTGCCTACTCACAGGAACTCTTCCAACAGTGCACTGGTTTGGTCTCTGTACCTCTGAGAAACAAGCCCTTGACTATGTCTCCACTAACATCAATCAAGAATACTTTTTGGGGGACCTGTGCTGTACTCAGTATATAGGGGCATAAGCACAAGCCTCAGGCTTGGGTACAAATCCTGACTCTGCCACTTGCCAGCTGTGTGACCTTACATAAATGATTTAACCTGAGTCCCAATGTTCTCATTTGTAAATGGGAATAATCCTCCCCTGCCTTACAGGGCTTCAGAGAGATTAAATGAGGGAACCCAGGAAGCATGATAAACATGGTGCCTGACACTCAATGGCATTTAGTGAATGTTTGGGTGGGAGTTGGAGGTTATCAAACAGCCACCTTGTAAGGAGCAGGCCTCATGGGGGGCTCACACACAGGGAGAAGAAAGCAGCTCATGGAACAGAAAGTATGGGAACTGACAGCTTATGGCTTCTGCCTCTTCTATACTTGAGAAAGTTACAAAATGTGAGTGACAGGGGCTGTCCCAAGAACATAAAAGAAGCTAATCTGTTGGCAAAGGGAAGAAATAGCACAGGATGAAGATTGTAAGTTGTTTGAAGCTTCTTCCCTAATTACCACTCATAATGAAAATTTAATTGCCAAGTTAAAAGCAAATTTTACTTTTTCTGTCAGAGAATCTCTGCAGAAACTGGCACGTTTTGTTTGAACAGGAAATCAAAGTTACTTTAAGGCTTAAATGAGACCTAAGGAGCTGCAGATGTTTCCCTGGGAATAACAAACTTCAAAACTCTGTCCTACTGGACTGCAGCAATTTACAGCTACAGGGAGAAAGAAAACGTGTTTTGAGCTGAGTAACTAAAGGGGTGGAAGTGATTCAAATTCCAAATATCCCAGTGCTAGGCACTCTGGGAGTGAGGCAAAGAGAGGGTGGTACAGAGAGAGGGTCTCTGGCAGCAAGAGCTTATAGCCGAGTAGGAGAGTGAGAACCAGGAAACTGGAACCAAAGGTTAGGAAACTGAAACAAAAAGGTAACCCTCCTAAGGGTTCTTTCACACACCTGGCCTTAGTTCTGACCTGCATGGGTGTTAGCCAAAAGGCTGCTCACCTGTAAGGTGCTGGTGAGGAAGTTGTTCTGGGACACAATGTCCACAAAGAAGTCGGCGGGGATCTTGCCAAGCTGATGGTACAGGATGGAGATGAGGTTGATGTAGAGGGTGTGGTGCTTCACCATGGCTTCTTCTGACCGGCACAGGAGGTTCAGAAGCCGCTTCCAGTGCTCAAATGCCTCATACACGTTCCCCAGCAGGAAGCATACAAAAGCAAACTGGAGTTCACCTGAAAGACGCAGAAAGGAGAGATGAACCTGAGGGAGAGGAGCACCACTGATCCTACAAAGCTGTCACTTTCAGTGGACCTCAGCAACGGGTGGCCTTTTATCCTTGTCACTCCTGCAGAGCCTAGCATGGGGCTTTGCACCTAGCATATGCTCAATAAAGGTTTGCTGAACTGCTATAAACTAGCCCTGGGAAACCAAACTAGTTTGGGATTTCTGTAAACCAGACTGTAAGAAAAGAGGGACACCTAGTATTTGCCTGGCGTTTAAAAAGTTCACAAAATGTGCCCACAGATATTCTGCCAAGTGGATCCCAAACCTGGCTGCCCATTAGAATTACTAGGAGTGTGGGACCCCTGGAAGGTAAAATTGACCCCCTGCCTCCATTTTGTGTCCTCCATCTTGAATAACTTGACTTGAACCCCTGCCTCCATTTTGTCTTCCATCTTGAATAACTTAACTTGACCCCTGCCTCCATTTTGTGTCCTCCATCTTGAATAACTTAACTTGACGCCCTGCCTCCATTTTGTCTTCCATCTTTAATAACTTAACTTGACCCCCTGCCTCCATTTTGTGTCCTCCATCTTGAATAACTTAACTTGAACCCCTGCCTCCATTTTGTGTCTTCCATCTTGAATAACTTAACTTGAACCCCTGCCTCCATTTTGTGTCTTCCATCTTGAATAACTTAACTTGACCCCCTGCCTCCATTTTGTGTCCTCCATCTTGAATAACTTAACTTGACCCACTGCCTCCATTTTGTTCTGTGTCCTCCATCTTGAGTAATAAGTTTCCCGCTCAAGCCACACCCATTCCCACGGAAACCATGCCCAGCAACCTGTGCAACAATACCCTGACCCTCCTCAGCCAATCAGCTAAGGTCACAATAAACCACCCCCCTTGGAAAGCCCCTACCTGTTTTTCCAAAAGTATTAAAGCAAAAAGGGAACTTTGTTCAGGGTCTCAGACCAAGTCCTGTGTTCTGACAGGCCACTGAGACCCTAGTTCGAACGAGCAATAAAGACCTGTTTTGCTCTTGCATCTCGTGACTGAGGCTGGTGACTGCGGCTCCACACGGGGGACTCTAGGAAACGGGGCACAACAGGAGGGCTTGTTAAAAAGAAAGCTGCCCACCCTTCACCTAGTGACCGTGGTGAAGGGCAGGCTGAGGCCTCAGTATCTGCAGCTCCATTAAACCCTCTGGGTGATTCTGAAGCAAACGGTTTGCTCCAGGACAGGGAAATACTGCACTGCACCACGTAGCCCTCAGCCCAACTCCATAAGGTAGTTAAGAAAGGGGAGATTTGCCACATTTTACAGATAGGGTCAAGGGACTTGCCACAGGTCACACATTAATGTTTGGCAGTTTGAACAATGGAAAGATAAAACAAATTTTCTCTTAGGTGGAAACAGTTCTAGAGCCTCCCAGAATAGGAAAATTCATGAGTACTTATTTCAGGGTTAGCCTGCCAACCAGATTATTTGTGTTTAATCACAGGGCTCTGTGCTTGGTGGCAAAAAGCCTGAGCTCTGGAGCCAAACTGGTTCAAATCTCAGCTCCACCACTCACAGCTGGGTGACTCTGAGCATGCTACTTAATCTTTTTATGCCTCAATTTCCTTATTTGAGGGTTGTAGTGAAGACTAAATGAATTTCTCTCTCTCTCTCTCTCTCTCTCTCTATATATATATATATTTTATATATATATATATAATATTAATATATACACAAAGCATTTAGAATAATGCCTGGCACAAAGAAGCACTCAAGAAGTATTAGTTATTACTTTCTTGACTACCTTATGGAGTTCCCACTGAATGTCTGTCTCAAAGAGACCTGAGAAGCCACTGTCTCTGGATAAGCAGCTGGTTCTCTGGTTGCAAAGACAGACAGCTGCTGATCAGAGACCTTCTCTCAAACTCCTGACTGAATGAGGGATTCTGCAGGCATACCTCGGTGCGGGGCCGCGAACAGACCAGATGCACTCAACACCAAGCACCTCTTTAAGTGCATGTGTTTGATCTGTTACCTCCAGACAGCTGGAAAAACTATTACCTGTTCCTAGGCTTGTGGAACTAAGTTGTGTGACTAGCTGCCTGGTCTAGATATTTTGAATGTTTAACTGGTATTTTCAAAATTCAGTAAAATTTTCTTTGTATGACAGAAGATAATGATTTGCTTCTTCAGATGGCTTTACCTGGTTTGTGAAAATATGAGCTTATTCTCTGAATTTAGGGCATTTATTTAAATTCATGCATTCACTAGTCTAGAATTAAATTATGAGATCAGAAATAATTTCAAAGAGCTGTCATGAAGACATGAGGTTATCCCTGCAACAGACCTTTTCAAAAGATTACTTCAAAGAACTGAAATGTTTTAAGAGGTAGAAAACAGGATTTCTGTTCATTTTTAAGCCAGAATTTCAAGTGTTACTTATTAAATGAAAATACTATGTAATGCATTAAGATGCACCCATTAAAATGTCCCTTTTTATCAGCTGATCAGCTGAACCAATGATAAAAAAGACCTATATTTGAATTTCTCACTTATCTTCCCACAGAAAAATACGCAAATACCTGGACAATTTGTAGAAGAAAAAACGTTAAGTAGCTTTTAAGGATGGGATGTTTGCTGTCACTACTAATCAAAGAAATATACATTAAAACAAAATGTCATCCTCCAACTGTCCATTGGGAAGAAGCCTTTGCTAAATCATCATTTCAAAGGTGATGGGCAACAGCCACTCAGCACCGGTGAGGATGCACAACCTTCTACTGGGAACATGCATGCTCTGATTCAACAATTCCAAACCTCAACCTGCTCAGACGTACACAAAGGCCATTTGTTGTACGACACTTATAACAGAGACATAGGAACATCTTAAAAGTCCAACAGAGGGCTGGTTCATAACTATGGGGCATAAACAGCTACTAAAAGGAGAGACTGTTTCAGTGACATGGAAAACTTTTTATATTAAGGCAGATTACAAATAAACTGTAATCATGTTTTTACAAAAAAATCTTATATACACACAAAGACATATACCCCTGCCTCCATTTTGTCTTCCATCTTGAATAACTTAACTTGACCCCTGCCTCCATTTTGTGTCCTCCATCTTGAATAACTTAACTTGACCCACTGCCTCCATTTTGTTCTGTGTCCTCCATCTTGAGTAATAAGTTTCCCGCTCAAGCCACACCCATTCCCACGGAAACCATGCCCAGCAACCTGTGCAACAATACCCTGACCCTCCTCAGCCAATCAGCTAAGGTCACAATAAACCACCCCCCTTGGAAAGCCCCTACCTGTTTTTCCAAAAGTATTAAAGCAAAAAGGGAACTTTGTTCAGGGTCTCAGACCAAGTCCTGTGTTCTGACAGGCCACTGAGACCCTAGTTCGAACGAGCAATAAAGACCTGTTTTGCTCTTGCATCTCGTGACTGAGGCTGGTGACTGCGGCTCCACACGGGGGACTCTAGGAAACGGGGCACAACAGGAGGGCTTGTTAAAAAGAAAGCTGCCCACCCTTCACCTAGTGACCGTGGTGAAGGGCAGGCTGAGGCCTCAGTATCTGCAGCTCCATTAAACCCTCTGGGTGATTCTGAAGCAAACGGTTTGCTCCAGGACAGGGAAATACTGCACTGCACCACGTAGCCCTCAGCCCAACTCCATAAGGTAGTTAAGAAAGGGGAGATTTGCCACATTTTACAGATAGGGTCAAGGGACTTGCCACAGGTCACACATTAATGTTTGGCAGTTTGAACAATGGAAAGATAAAACAAATTTTCTCTTAGGTGGAAACAGTTCTAGAGCCTCCCAGAATAGGAAAATTCATGAGTACTTATTTCAGGGTTAGCCTGCCAACCAGATTATTTGTGTTTAATCACAGGGCTCTGTGCTTGGTGGCAAAAAGCCTGAGCTCTGGAGCCAAACTGGTTCAAATCTCAGCTCCACCACTCACAGCTGGGTGACTCTGAGCATGCTACTTAATCTTTTTATGCCTCAATTTCCTTATTTGAGGGTTGTAGTGAAGACTAAATGAATTTCTCTCTCTCTCTCTCTCTCTCTCTCTAAAAAATGATTATTTCTAGGTGGTGGGAACTGAAGTGAATTTTTGCTTTTCTTCTATCATGAACATATACTATTTTTGATGAACATATATGATGATGGGGAAAACAATAAAAACTATAACAATTTTTAAAAAATCACAGTCCTGGTCTAAGTCAGTTGGGAAACCAACATCCTCAGAGGGTCAAGAGCAAACTGAGGAGATAGGGAGAGGTCTGGGAACCAGGAGCCCTGGGCTCTGGTCTCATTTAGTAGTTGTCCAAATCCTTTCCCTCTATGGACTTCAATCTGTAAAAGGAGGGGCTGGGCCATACCAGCAGTTCCTAAACACAGGACTGTCTGCATCAGGCTCACCTAGGTTGCTTATTTACTATATAGACGGGCAGGCACACGTAAATTGTTGAAGCCCTATTCCAATTATCTTGAATCAGTCTCCAGGGATCAGGCCTGGACATCTGTATCCTTTTGAGTTTACCCGGCAAGACTGCCTCCTAGATAGACTTAGGAACCACTGGACTAGATAACCCAAGATGCACCCCCTGCTCTAAGGCCCCCTGCCTTGCCCCTCCCTTGGCCTATTCCAGAAGTGCCCTGGGCTCACCAAGCACATCCTGGGGGCTGCTGGGGAACTGCTTGCTGAGCACAGTCTCCAGGGCATAGCTCAGGTCCATGCTGTGCCTGGTTATCTCTGCTGGCGTGGCCCCTGCTGGGAACATCTGCGTGGGCAGCTCTGAGAAGCGGATCTCTGTCCCAGCTCTGGGCTTCATCTCAGGCAGCCGGGAGAGGCCCTCCTGGTAGCTTTTGCACTCAGTGCCACAGCGGGGCAGATTCTGCCCCACCCGGTCCTTGGTGTGCTTCATGGAGAGGACAGGTAGCACCTCTGAGAAGGCACAGATCTGCCGGTTCTCAGGCTGCAGCTTCTCCACTGTGGCCTCGCTGATGAAGTTGGTGAGGGAGATCCACTTCTTGAGCGTGGCATATGGGTAAGGTCCCAGGAACTGGTCCAGCTCCTGGAGGTTGGCCCTCATGGCCTCCACCTCGGCTTCTGGGGCTGGAGACAGGTCTACCTCTTCCTGGACTGCGTTCCAATGTAGGACTATCAGTCCCCGCTGCCGCAGGCTAAGGAAAAAGCCCATACGAGGGCCCACCTCCTTGGGATTGGCCTTGTCCACAGAGCTGTAGTGGAGGAAGTGGATGCCTGGCGGGATCATCTTCACACCCCGGAATTTGGGACCCACCTCCCAAGAGTTGTAGTCAATGCCAAACTCTGTCCCCCTGGGCATATTCAGGATGACCACAGTGGCCCCTTCAAAGAAGAGGCACTTGGCAAGCTCAGGATCCATCTGCACGGCAGCCATGCAACCAGCGGTGGGTGACCAAAAAGAATAATCCTTCTTGTCTCTCAGAACTGCTAAAAAAGAAAGAAACCAGAGTTAATCAGAACTTGGGGAAGGATGCTTCATTTGCTGAGCATTCTCTGTGTGTCAGATAAGTGAATGGGACCCCTGACATAATTATTTCCCTTAATCCTTACCACAACCCTGCACTCATTTTATAGATGATGAAAATGAGACAGAGAAGAGGATTCTGGTGTTTTGGTTAAATGAGCAAGAACACTCACTTCCCAACTGGAAAGAAATCAAAGAGAAGTGAATGCTTGAGGTCAAAAAAGGTCACACAAATTAGAACCTGGCACCCTGTCCTCCAAGCCAGTGCTCTCATCACTGTCCACCTGGGATTTGCTCAGATCTCTCATAACAGAGGATGAAACTGGAGAAAGCCTGGATGATCCACGCTACACTATAACTCTGCCTAAACTCCCTTACACTATAACTCTCCCCAAAACCTATTGCTAGAGAGTCCCAGAAGAGCTGAAAAGGATGATTAAATCAAGCATGCACCCAGCTTCCCATAAGCCTCAGGAAAGGCCCAGAAACAGAGGGTGGAAAGTGGGTGCTCAGCATTGGAAACTCACAAAGGTTCGGGGAGGAAGTAGAGATCTTTTTAACCACAAACCTCCCCTCTCTTTTCATACGTACAGAAACCTAAGTCCAGGGAGCGAAACAACTGCCCACAGTCAGTGGATAGCTCTGGACCACTCACCAGAATGCTTTCAGGTGGTGTGGCTGGCCTAGGAACAGTGCTTAGGAGAGAAGAGCTTGAAACACTTATTTTACCTACTTCTGAACTACCCATGAGGACCCACTGATAAAACTGTGTGGTATTTATAAGAATGTTCATCATCATAGGAAGTAAAGACAATAATTGTTTTCTGAAGCTTTGTGGTATATACTCTCAGTAGCAAGGCAAAACAACTTGTTACTGTAGGCCACCGTCAAAAGTCTGAAAGCCACTGCTCTAAATAACTTCTATCATCATCTTCCTATTCCCAACCCTGAATTCAGATGACACTTAATAAATATTTGCTAAATAAACAGCTATTGCATTTAGAATCATTGTTCATTAATTAGCCATTTTCCCTGTGGCATCTGTGTGCTCCTCCTTGATAATGATATTCTTTTCATTCTAATTCCACCAGCCTGTAATTCTCTTCACTAAATCTTCAGCAGTTGGCATGTGGCCTGGCCCAGAGATGCGCTGGAATGCAGAGTCTCATCCATCTGCTACTCTCCACCACCTCCTTTATCCAAGCCACTGTATCACTCACCCAGGGAGTGCCTGCCCCTTTAACCCATTCTCCATCCCAGTGCCAGAGTGACCTTTTCAAACTGCTATCTAAGCATGTCACCACCCACACTTAATACCTTCTGAGGGGCTTCCCACGTGGCTCTTGGAAAACAGAAATCCTTACTCTGCCCTCCAAGGCCTGTGTGGTCTGACCTCTGGCAATTCCCTCAACTGGTTTCATAATATGCTCCCCTACAAGCTCTGTTCCAGCCACATTGGCCTGTTTGAGACCCTCAAATGGGAGGCTCCTCAGGATTGAAAACTCTTCCCTCCCCTCTTTGTCAAATCACTTTACTGATCTCAGCTCAATATTCCTCAGTAAAGCTTCCCTGACCCACGGTAAGGTCAGGTCCCCCTTGATACACTCGCACCACTTGTACCTTTCCATTTCACCCATCATGGCTGCAATTTTTGCGTATGTTTAATAGAGGGCTGTCAGCTCCACAAGACTTGACTCTTTCTGTACCTCTGGCACATATTAGACGCTTGATAATTACTTATTAATAAAAACATGATAACCATTTTGCAGATGAGAAACGGGGCTCGGTTTGGGGAAAGCCTTTAGGACAGAACCGGGTGGGGCGCAGCCAAGGTCTCCTGCCCCAAAGTTCTAAAGTTAGGAAAAAAGCGAAGTTACCCGGGTGCCCCAGGAAGTATTGGCGACGGTGTCTCTGGTGACGGTTTCTCAGGGAGAAAGGCCTGCACAGACACCTGGGTCTCACCACCGGCGCACAGACCGGGACGCAGCCGTCCTGGCGAGATGCCCTAATTGAGGGCATTCCCCCATCCCGAACGGGAAGAGGAGTGGCCCGGTCACAAAGACAACGGAAACAGAGGAGGTAAAAGAGGCCAGGGAAGCCGCACTCACCTGCTTGGGTTTAGCCCCACGCTCAGGAACTGCCGAAGCTCACCGGAAGTTCTCCGGTGTGGCACGGTCGGGAGCAACGGGGAAAGCGGCCCGGCAGAGCGCTCAGCCGTTGGAGGAACGGTCCGTGCCTCTAAGTTCCGCCCCATCAAATACTGCCTTTTGCCATTTTGAATTACTTGTTTAAGCTCCTAAACCGTGCATAACAACTTTCATCAACCTATGTATTTTATATCCCTCTCCAGAAACACATCCACCAACCACGGTCCTTTGGTCTCCGTCACGGTCACTTAAGCCGGGTCAAGGTCATGTGACTGCCTAGTAGCCAGTCAAAAGCTCAGTCATGATCTAGTCAGTAGATCTCCAGTGTCACATCTGGCTCATTGTCACCCAGTGTCAGCTTCCAACTACCCTCAGCCTTAAGGGAGAGCCTCAGAAACCCAGCCCTGCCACAGAAAGAACCAGTCGCAGAAGCAGTAGCTGGCCACATGGATCCTTTTGTTACTGGCAGACATTGGAGCAGGGTTCTCCGTCCTTGCCTTCATGTACTAAAATAATTTAACACCAAGAATTAGGAGTATGCAAGCAAGCAGTGCACTTTATTAGAGAAGTGAGGAAATAGAAACATGAACAAGGTGGGCGGCAGAAGAGGGAGTCAGCACTGAGAAGAACCAGGGTAGCTCCTATCATGAGGAGCAAAAATGTTTATTCACTAGTTATTAGGACACCTAGCACAAATAGGGAGGGTTTCAATAAGCACATGTGCAACTGGATTACAGACATACATGTATGTTGCAGCATCATCTCATGTAGCATTAGCATATAAAATCTCCACTCGGGTAAGAAATTTAGTATTATAGCAAGGAAAAGGCAACTATCAGACACCAAATTTTCCTTATGTGCATATCACAGTTGTTTGTGTCTTGGTCCACTGAGTGTCTGACTAAGGGGTCTCTAAACTTAGGACATGGCGGTTGTAAACTTTGTTGAAACAACAGGTTGAGGAGAAAAATAAGACATATTGGAGCCTTACAGATCCAGTGGTCCAAGTCACAAGGCATTTTGTTAGGACTTAGGCATGTGGGTTTGGACTAGTCTTTGCATTTTTCTCCACCTATCTCATGTTCAGCCATAATCACCCTGTGTCCTCTAGCAGCACAGGCCTGGCCTGGTATCTCAGTCAGGCTATAAACATGTCCTGAAGGAGGGAACCTGCCTGTCTTGTTCTCTACTGTTTCTCTGGAATCTAGCACAAAGCTAGGCACAAAGGCTCAGCTCAGTATATTATGCATTTAATTAATTACTACTCCCATATTAATAAATGGCTTCTGTTTGGGGGCTTAGCCCTATGCTGGATAGTTGTATCAGTCAGGGTCTTCAACCAAAGAAGCAGAGCCAAAAGGAGATATGTATTAAGAGATTGATTGCAAGGAATTAGTTTGTGTGATTGTGAGGGCAAAACCCATAGGGCAGGCCATATGTATATGATCTCTAAACCTTACGCTAACACTAGTACATAGGTGCTTGAATTCCCAACTTACAAGAGAGAAAACTGAGACTCAGAGAGGTTACACAGCCAGAGAGTGGACAGCTAGCAAACCGAGGTCTGCCTGGCTATTCTTGTCCCTGTGCTGCTGCTCCTTAACTTGTCTGTCACATTTCCTCAGTGGCAGCTGGACACACCAATCCGTCTCAGTCAAAATTCATCTTTTAGTGGGTAATGCACTAGACCGAGCCCTGCCATCATGGTTAATCACCATGAGCTGCTGAAGGATTAACCAGAGATGGCCTCCATCAGTCAGTTATCCATGACAACCTTAGCCTGTGTGTCAGTTTCATTTCCCATATAAGGAAGCTCAGGAAATGGAGCCCACCCCTCCCTATTCCCAGTGTGAGCCACTGAACTCTGTGGTTTGCTCTCAGGGCTCCCTATTCAGCTCGTCTGACCATCTTCTCAGAGACTCTGGGGCATTGAATTATGGGCACAGAAGCTGTAGATGGTGACCTGGGAATCCCATCTCATGGGGCGCATGTCCATCCAGATCGTTTCTCAATCTTGGTACTATTGATACTTGGGGCCAGAAAATCCTTGGTTGTGGGGGGCATCCTGTGCATTATAGGGTGTGTAGCAGCACCCCTGGCTCTACCCACTAGATGCCAGTACCACCCCAGTTGTGATAACCAAAAAATGTCTCCAGACATTAATATTCCCCGGGGGCTAAAATCAGCCTCCCTGCTCCATTGAGAAGCATTGATCCAGATGAACCAACTCCAGGTATTCCCAAGCAGCACACGGGCTGACCCTGTATTTATTGGAGACAGAGATACAAATCCAGGGGATGCAGGGACCCAGTGTTTGCAAACCAAGTCTATTCCAGAACCCCAGGGGTGACAGATAGCTAAAGGAAACCTACAGAGAAAATCAGGGAGGGATTCACAAAGCTCCTGGAAGTAATTTCCTGTGGCAATGGACAGGAGTCTGGAGAGGGCTGAGGAATTGCCTTTCACTGCACAGTATTTTGTATTACTTAATGGATTACCTTTAAAAAGAAAAGAAATAGTATTTAGTATTTGAAACTACAGGGAAATGCTCAGCATTTAAGTGTAAAAAGTAATTAGAATGGTATGTAAAAGGTGACTTAAAAAAAAAGGTGACTTCAACTCCAGAAAATACATATATGTGGAAAGACTAGAAGAAAATGCACCAAGTTATTATCAGTGGTTCTTGCTTGTGAGATTTTAGGCAATAAAGAAAGGTGGTCTGGGATGAGTTATTTTGAATAAAAATGAAAATGTGGCTGGTACATGTACCTCAGAGAGTCCAAGGGATGAGTTTACATTTTACATGAATATGGATATTTAACTTTAATAATTTTGCATTTCTTCTTATGAAACCTTCTTCTTTGGCCAGTGACACTAGCTTTCCATTTGTGGAAGTAATACAGTTTCCTTTTTAAAGGAACTTATTTTTTTTACAGAGAGCCAATTTAAAGAAAAGTGGTAAGTCAGTAATGGGACAGAGGGCACATACAAGGATATGGGAACATATGTGAAGGTGTTGGGCAAAGGCTGAAGTTGGGGATTGCTGTATACATTATCCACTAGGCTCCCATGGAGGGGAGTTGTAGGAAGGGACTCCGACGTAGGTGCTCTTCTTTCAGGAAGAAGAGGGATCATGGTGTTCCTCCACACACTGTATCCTGGGATCCCCATGCTCACTGTTCCTTCTGCCCAGAATGCTCTTGCCGAAGATCCTCACCGTACTGCATTTTTCTTTTTCATTCAGCTCAAAAGCCACCTCTTCATGGAGGCTGAAACTGGCCACCTTATTTAAAGTGGTGTCCTTCAGTGACCATCCCCTCCTCCTGTAAATTTCCTTCCTGGTGCTGATAACTCTGAAATTCTCTCTGACTGCTTGCCTGTTTTGTTGTCTATTTCCCCCACTAGCTTGTGAGTTCCTGAAGGGCAGGAACTTTGTCTAATTTGTATTGTACCTGCAGAGCCTAACCCAAGACCTGGATCACATTGGCAGCTGCAAATATGTGTTGAATGAAAGTGTTCTAGGTTGGAATCTCTCCACCCCAGTTTTAGCCCTTCCTACAATGCCAGCTTGTAGCAGCAGCCAAGGCCATCGAGAGAGAGAGACACACCTGGGCAGTTTGTGGTTCAGCATCAAACACATTTATTTCACTTTTATTGAGTATACAAGAACAGAGAGCACACGCGTACAGCACAGAGCACTGAGGTGGGGAAGCGCAGGGACGAGAGGGGTGAGTAAAAGGAACAGGACAGCATTGCAGTTGGTTGGTAAGGTGCTTTTGAAAAAAAAATTTAGAATGATGTTGCTCATGCAATTTCAGGTCAGTCTTGGAATGTGCTTGCAGGATTCAAAAACTGAAACAGGTCCTGGCACTTCCTGTACCCTCACATGGAAAAGATCCCGAGAAAGCAAAATAAGAGAATGTGAAGATCTGTAGGATGGCAGAGTGAGAAAAGACCCTGGAGAGCATCTGGTTTATCCTGCTCATTTTGCAAGTGGGGAAACTAAGGCCCAAAAGGGGAGATGGAACTGGTCCAATGTCACATGGCAAGTTAGGGGCTGAGCCAGGATGCCCTTCCTGGAACTTTTTCCACTACGCTACATGGTCTCCCGGGTGGAAAGGTAGCACAGAAAGGATGAGAAATGTAAAAAGGAGAAATAGGTTGAAGACAGACAAGACAAACATCTATATTCTCTGTGAGGAGAAGGACAGGGAGGAAACAGTGCCCCAGATTTCAGCTTTGCAGCTCCCTCCTCCCTGGCAGTGCTGCCTACCTTTCCATGGAAGGAAGGTCAGAGCATCTGTGGGATGGAGATCTCCACGAACCCCAGTCGGCCCACAAACTTGGTCACTTCATCCTGGTCCTGAAGTCACACACCCAGGGACTGCAGGTGCAGAACCCAGAACAAATATTCTCCCCGAGGTGTGCTCAGGGTGCATGGCTCCTGCAAAGCCTGGGATGCCTGAGCGAAATTCCAGGTGGCCCAGTGAGGGTAGAGCCAATACAGCTCTTGACCCAGAAGAGTGGGGGCTCGCAGGTTATGAAGGGTGGAAAGGAGGTTCTGTGGCTTCTCTGCCAGGACTGTAAAAAGAACCTGGTGGATGGGAAGTGTGTCATCATCACACTTCAGGGGGAGTTGGAGTGGGCCACTGGCCTGTTCCGGGGGTGTGGGAGGTGGGCAGAACGTGGCTGACGCTGCCATCCAGGCCCCAGGTGCAGGACTGTCTGCTCTGTCCTATCTTTGCCCACAGAGGCAAACACTATTCTGGTTTCTTGTCCTCTGTGAGGTCAGCACCAGCTGAACAGCTATGCATATATGCCATCGGGGTGACTGGGCCCTCTGGGGGGCGTCCCTGGGCAAT